TTACAAGGGACTAAATTTCTTACTCTCACTCACTCTCTCCAAACACACACACACACAAACAGTGACTCCATTATGTGTCCGTTTCACTGCCGTCTCCTCAGGAGGCTCTTGTTACCGTCTCTTTACAGCCGACAACAAAGAGCTGAATGTCTGTGCAACCAGAGAGATGGATGAGAAGGAGTGAGGGACGTATCCACAAGGTCTTTACTGCCTGAGTGTGTATGTTCCTGCGTGTGTGTGTGTCTGTGTGTGTCCCTGGAGCAGTTGTGAGTGTTGCTTTTTGTCTCTCAGATTCTAACCTTACAAGACCGTACCTGGATCAAATGAGAGCAAATACCAAGAGTAGCCTCAAGTGTGATTTACAGCTGCTCCTGTGTCCGGCTCTGTCACAGCTGCCTCAGGTGAATCAGTTTGAAAGAATCGCTCCCTGAATGTCAGAGTCCCTCACGCTAGAAAATGACATAATGTTCATAAGACTTTTGTGTCAAATCTGGAAAACAATGAGCAAAACATTGAATCCTGAACAGCTCCTCTCTTGCAGATCTTGACTTTTGGCCTCCCAGTGAAGGGGATGCTGATATGAGAGGAAAGTCTCTCTGGGGTCCTGATATCTAACCTCTTTCAAGACCTGAAGGTTGCAATGGAAAAGTTTTTTCGTTCTATAAACTTCATGTTTTTGATGTTGTATTGTTCTCATGTGTACTTAAAGCCACAAATCACAGAAAATACTTCAAATAGGCATTTATTTAAAGTACATTAGGATATTATCTAGTGTTACTGTTATTGGTTATTGAAAATGACTATGTTTATATAAATATAGTACAAGTTGCATTCACCTATTCATGCACATATTCATACAGAGTTCCTGTACGCAGCACTTCCTGTGCCTCATACACTGTTGGCACATATACAATCAGGGGTAATTTGGGGATCAGTATCTTGCCCAAGGACACTTCGGGAGGCAGACTGGATGGGCTGGGGATCAAACCATTGATCATTGTGTTTTCTGAACTCTTGGAACTCTTTGACTCTAGTTCTGTCTCTCGTGTGTACACACTAGCAGACATGTAATTAAATCTACTGGCGCACACATGCTTTGTCATGATAAAGCCCATTTCCTCTTTTAGCCTGCTGGATCTGTTTGTGTGTCCTCAGTGACACAACGTTTTCTTCCACACTTTGAACAGCGGAACAGCTTAGCCTTCTTTTAAATGTGCTTTGAGCTAATGAAATCACCTCTCATGTGCAGGGGCTAATCATTTCTTCTTTTTTTTTTTCTGGCCAAGTTTAACCTGTCATTCACACACAGACAGGACACAAACACACAGATAAATCAGCAGATCCATGCATATTAGCTACTGTAATTGTCTGTTTATTTTTGTGCTGGGCTCTTTTACAGGGTGACAGGGGACAGAGCAGCTAGGAGGATGTGTGATGTTGCCTGGCAGCTCGTTACCAAACATGAGGATCTCTGTATGCTAAGACACATCCAGTCTATTTTAGGTCTGCTGCACAAAACGAATGAGGTGTGACTGAAAATCACCTTGTTGTGAACACATACAAAGGCCTGTATTACGTTTAAGTGGCCAATTACATGTCAAAATATGCTCATGCATGTATCACACTGACGTTAAGCTCCTTATAGCTGGTGAATGGTTTGTCTACTGTACTTTGTCTTATGCCCAACTGCCTCATTGACCAATGGAGAAAAAAAGTTATGTCTACTTTGAACTACATGAGGGCCAGAGCACATGTCCTCCTCTAATCCCTGTGCTAAAGTCGTACTAATGACTCAGCATTTCAAATTCACAGGTGTCCAACGCTAAAACTACCGCTCACATTCTTTCCTCTCCTGTGTCTGGGTTTTCCAACAGAGAGCAGAGTTTAATGAGCCTGTCACTGAGCGCTCTTCTCTGTAAAACTGACAGGGGGAGGATCACTGGGGAAGAGGGTGGATTTATGTGATGAATTATTGATGTATTGATGTAGATCAGGGGCAGGGGTGGACAAGCATTGTGGCTTATTCCTGCTTTTCAGACAACATTGGTTGGTTTATGTTTCTCATTGAACATCTATTATTTATTGTTGTTTTGGTCTTTCTTGGTTTTTTAGGGGAAGAGAAAAATTTAAACAAAACAAATTGAGACATTTAACAGTTTACTAGAAAATACATTTCTTGGACCTTTCTCTCTTGATTGTGTGGAGTTGTTAGAGTTGAAATGATGTGCCCAATACAAATATACCGCCACCACTCAGCTGAGTCTCTGAGTGACATCTCTGAGACTTGGCCTGTGAACATAATTAAAGCTTTTAATCTCTGTTCTTGGCTAACAGGTTCTGATGGCGTCTCATGGGTTTGTGCGGGAGAACCCTGTGACCTGTGAATCTCATCAGATAGTTGATGAGTCATGGTTAATCTCAGCTGGCTCCTTCCCTTTGCTGCGTAACCACGACAGGCTTCAAATAAAAAATTTAGAAATCTCCGTCACGAGCAGGATTTCAAAAATGTACTATGGCCTTCAGTTTTGATTTGTTTACTAAGTGGCCATTAGCGACCAAATAAGCTAATCATAAAAATAATTTGACTTGCAGTGACTGCATATTTGCCACATGGAGGCAGAAAAAACAAGCTGTAAACATAACAAGTATATACTGTAAATCAAAATGATTATTGGTAATGTTTAGTCCAGAGTCGTGTTTATATCCAGTGTTCTGTTTTATTAGTTTTTTTCAATTTTTCAGGGAAATATTACATTTCTAGTTACTAAATGCTCCTGTATATTCATCATCTATTATTAACCATTGTAATTATTACTGCTACTCTTTTTTTTTAAAGCCGGTGGCTAAAAAAGATGCCATGCAAGGGACTAGAGATTGAACCAAAGCAAAACAGTTGCACTCTGTGAAACTAAAACAATGTGCTGAAAGAAACTAAAACACTTTTCTGTCTGTAATGATCCTTTTACACATAAAGCTGTGCAAATGTTTTTATCATTGAATATCAAGTCCCCTGCACCGGCTGGACATTACACACTCTCCAGCAGCTCCTCGATCAGCAGTTAAAACCGTACAATACATACTGTGTGTGTCCCCTGACCTGTGAGCAGCTGACATTAGAGTGACTGACGTTATGTTCCTAAACGAAACACACATACAGTACATGCAGACACACACATACAGTACATGCTATGGTTAATGTATTTGTGGAATAATTCATGCTCCTCACTCAGATATGGAGGACAACATGTTGCTCTGATCTCTGGGTTTCACTAAAAGGATTTCTAATTAGTAAAAACTGCTTCCTGTCAGGATTGGACAATAAGAATGAATGACTGAGGATGTAGATGTCGACTATCATGGCCACCCTGACTGTAAATAACCTCTGCAGAGATACTGTGGGAATGCATTTCCTTGAAAGGCACTCCAATGGACAGATGAACCAGTGATGACCTTCAGTGTCAAAGGTCACCGACCTGCCTATTGATGGATGGCGGACGTCTCCTAACAGCCACTCATGGCTTCTGTCAGCTGGAGCTAATGAAGAGCCGACACCAAAAACACAAAAAAACAATTAAAACATTTCAACATGAAGACTGCTGAACAAGTGCACTGCCACGCGCACACACACAGAAGCACAATTTGAAACTGATTATTTTGGTATATTTTATCAGTGCTATAAAAACGACAACTGTTTTCAATTAGTGTCTGGCTCACTGCTCTTTTGATGCTGATTGCAGCTGCTGTGATGGAATTATTACATTGTTAAATCCAGACTACACACTGTGTGCAACATTGCATAACACCCCGTGCTACTAAAACCACAGCAGTGTCATTCACTTATCCAGGCAGAAAAATCTCAAAACATGTGTGTGTGTGTGTGTGTGTGTGTGTGTGCTTCTTTTTGCTTTTCCTGTAGGTTCATGCACATCTATGACTTACTGTATAATGTGGACATTATAGTAGGAATTTAAGGCCCTTTGAATCAGGTGAGTGGTCTTAACCGGAGCTAAACTGTGGCTATTTCGAGAGGTCAGCCCAGCAGCATAATGTGGCGCTTGTTTCCTCTGGCGTCAGAGGTCTCAGAGAGAGAGAGAGAGGGAGAGAGAGAGAGTTACAGTAAAAACCTGTCTCTCGTGGACTTTAGGTACAGCAACAACTGTGCATTTTTATTACATTCAACACACACCCTCCGTCTGTCATCAATGAGATTGGTCTTTTAAAAACGAAGATACTGTCTCAAACATTTGGTGAATAGTTACTGAAGAAATGATTCTGCAGATGTAATTTAAGAATATTTTAACTTGAAGTTTGTGAGAACAGAAGTCAAGAGAGAAGACCTTTGATCCAAATAACTAAGCTCTGTACATCCACATATTGTTTTAACAATGAAAAATAGAGCTGAAGTTTAGATTGTTGGTTGGTTCTTTTTTTTATGTGATGCTTCTGTGCCATTCTGTACTGATCTACACTATAAGAGACCAGGATATCTGTCTGTAAAGAGAACACTGGTCAGATATAACACCAAACAGAACAACTGTTAATAATTTATGACAAGTGAAGGATACCACAGGTTCTCTTTCATGTTTGGAGGGTGAGGTGAGGGGTGTTCAGCTGCAACATGCAACTTCACCACTAGAGGTCACTCAATTCTACACACTGAACCTTTAATAATGAACACTACAGGAGCCTCTCTGTTGCACTGTAGGTGCTTTTATTTTGATAATTATGTGCATTTTAATTTAAAATAAAGTAATTTAAGTAAGATTTCTGTGTAATGAAGTATTCTTCATCACGTAGGCTTTAGGTTCTGAGTACTTCCCCCATTACTGAATTGAAATGTACTGATTTGTGTGTTTGCAGTATTGACTCCCTGTGAACTGAAGATTGTTTCACTTACATTCTAGACATTGTCTCCATCCATAAAACGAAAATTATTGTTTTATGTTAGAAACTGAAGCTAGAGGTTTTCATTGGTCCTCCTCCCTCTGCCATGGCAACCACAGTGAGCCGGAGCATGGGGGGATGTGGGCGGAGCGACGGTCGGAGGTCCAGGTGGTCGAGTTTGCGTAAAAACGCACCAAACATTCCGCAAACTCCTGCGAAACCAGCAGCGAGCGTCACTTCAAGAGAACAGACAAGCTGCTGGCACCTCGATGAATGAATAATCCGTGCCTCCAGAGAAACCCTGCAGGATTTGATGCCTGAAGAAATAATCAAATAACGAGCGGAGCGTTGTGCGTCGCTGCGAAGACAACCGGACAAAACGGGAGCAAACTGATCAACAGGCTGAACTTTGTTTTTTAACTAATCGATTTATTTTCCTGAGACAAAGACGGCTTGTCTCAGCGACCAGTGGAGATATGTTCAAGAAAAGCAAGAGTAAAGTGCTGGTGGATTATGCGTCAGAAGAAGACGACATGTCCTGGCACTATCATCACTCCTACAAGGTAACAATGACACTAACGACCACAGTTACATGTGTTTGAATAAGCTTTGATAATGATGGTGAAGTGCTCATGTGGAACTCTGATAAGAATAGATTTTTGTTTGTTTCAGTGTTTTCTTCCCCAAACAAGTGTCAGGATGTCCAAAACAGGCTTAACAGTAAAGTTGAGTGAAAACAAAAACGCTTGTTTGGAGAAAGTAAATAAGAGCATATTGAATTTTGGACCCATACACAAATTACAAATGATATTATAAAGACAACTGACTAAAGCCTTGTTGCAAGTTGCTAAACGTGACTAAATACATCTCCTGCTGTTAAACTGAGAATGTGAAGCAGCAGGAGGAGGAAGAGGAGGTCAAACTCATGTCATGTCAGCTGAGGAGGAAAGTGAGGAGAGGTCAAAGAGGAGAGTGAATCACTCAGAACTTCAGAGACAATGTAATTCCATAAGTGGGCAAGTACAAATTGAAAAACTATAGGAATAATGTCAGAGTCAAACTTGAATCCAGTTGCATTCTTCAAATCGTCCGTCATCTTTTCTATGTCGTATTTCTTCAGTCAATCAATCAATCAATCAATCACACAGACTCTTATGTATAAAGCGATAATTTGAAAGGTAAGCAGCACCAGTGTGTGAGGTCTCCAAGAGTCTCTGTATCAGCATTTGCAAGCAGCTGGGTTCTGTCAAGGTGTTGGGAAGAGGCACAGGGAAGAATCCATGATAAGACACACACACACACACACACACACACACACACACACACACACACAGGAAGGAAGGCATCCATGCAGACAAAAGTTTGTGCAGTCACAGCATCCCCAATGATGGAGTAAAAACTAATGTGTCATCCTGCCTGTGGTATCTAATCACCTTATTGTATGTGTGATTAAAAAAAACTTTAAAACAACGATTCAAGGTTTATGGGGAAAGTTAAGAGTCAGTTGTTTTCATTATTGTGTGGAGTAAACATATATAAATCTGAGGCTTACAAACTCGGCAATACGATGTGTTACAGTGCTTGTGAATCTGTTAATTTAATAATGGACAAATAATAATGATACAAACATTTTTTTATAGTTAAATGTCCTATCAGTGTTACATCATTCATTGGATTTATAAATGTATCATATACTGAAGTTGGCAATTGTGAAGTTCGACCGACACCATCTCCCAGCATTTTTCATCCATTGCTGTGATAATGTCGAGATCTGTGACCCTTGGCTGGGTTTTATTGGCCTGTCCTTAACGTCCACCCTGGGAACCTACGCATGTGGTCCTTACCTCCGAAGAGCTGCCCTGAGATCAGTGTCTGACTCTGATCCCAGTGGTCACCAGGACTATGTGGTTTATATGGAGCTGATTCGAGGACAGAGCAGTGCCTTCGCCGCAGAAATCCTGGGAAAGTCATCAGGGAGGTCCTCTTCAGTTGCCATCGTCATAAAGCACATGCAGGGGTCAGGGGTGGGATCATAAAATGTCGTAAACACATTGGAGAGGCAGATCTAACCCAGCAGCGATACAGGAAGAAGCCCAGGATATAAAGTTATGATAACACAGTCTGGACATGCAGTCTTTTCCTGCTCCTTATTCAAATGGCATAGTTACACTGTCTGGTCTGCGTCAGGAAGGGAGGAAAGCAGAAAGAGCCAGAGATAGAATATCTGCTGCATTTTTGGATCAAGATCACGTTGCATGAATAATAGTTTAGCCCCATTTTTTTTATAAACAAATCTTCAAATGTGAGAAGCTGAAGCAATGCATTTCTTCCATCCTTGCTTGAAAACGTGCTACTTCAGAAATATGGTGGTGTTTACTCTGCAGTCATTTACAGTTTGATTGGTACAATAATGATGATCATTTTTGGGGAAAAGTACAGGAGAGTCATAAGTAAGTTTTCTGTCTTTGTTTTAAATAAAAAAAAAAAAAAGGAAACTTCAAAATAATATTTCAATGTATTCTAACTTATTTTAAAGGTCATAACCAAGGGCTTTAATTTGGGTTGAACGTTTGGGGGTTGAGGTACAATGTCACTTTCAAATACGCATAATCAAAAAAGTTATTTTTTGTTTGTGCGAAATTGAATTGAGAAAACCAACAACTTTATCATATTTTATAACAGTCAATATTTTTTTCAGTTTGACGTTATGGTTATCGGGGGGTGCACAGGCCGGTTTATAACTCGAGACTAGACTGGAGAGCTGTTGATTCACCTTTTTCCTTTATTTTAAGATGTTCTTGAATTACACTGTCATACATATTAGTTATTTTAACCTTGAAGTCTCCCTCTACATGTATTCACACCTGGAAACTGACCAGAATAACCACAGTCTGATATGTTGTTTCTGCACAGCTCCACTGGAGCAGTTGGGCACCCTGAGCACTGCTCCGTCTCTTTCTACACCTTCATGCATCCCCACGATTTTTCTTATCTTAAGGCCACCTCTGCTATTTTGTTGGACTCTTCGACAAAGTTGTGTTTTCTTAAAGCACTTAATCAAAGTGTAATGTAATAGTCTTTGTAAGAAACAACAGGTCTCTTCCTTTTGCGATGTGTTCATTCAGGGTTCACAGAAAACTGTACATCAGAGACCAACTGGCAGGTGGAGACAGACAAGTTTAAAGGGATAATACAGCCACAGACACAGAGGAAGAAAAAAGGGGGATGGGAGGAGATCTTATACAGGTTTTGAAGTCTGTATCTTTACTAACTTCACAGCGCTCAAGGGCGACAGGCGGCCTTGTGGCGCAGCTTTGCTTTCTCACTGCTCACCCTGTGTGGAAGTTCAATAGGCTGTAAGAGGCAGCTGTGAGCTCGTGGGAGGTGTGAGTACCTGATTGTCCCTGGCTTAAAGCAGTAACACAGCTGAATACTTTGGAAACGCAACTGTTATTCCATTGACAGGCTCTGCTTTGTGAAGTGGGATCATGAGAGGACAGATTAAGGCTGAGCTCACTTCAGACGGCCTCACATCTAAATCATTAGTGGTGAAGAGAAAAAGAAGGTAAAGCTGAGGGGATCATTGACTGAGGGAGATCAGGATAACATTGTGTAAATCAAACAGTTGTGAGATTTTTATTAAAAGTTCAAATGAAATCAGCATGACACACTGCCTTTTTAACATCTAACAATAAGGTCTCATATCTGTCTGCCAAATATAAAGCTCCAAATGCGCTGAGAAGCTTAGCTTTCTACAAAAAGCTGGACACAATCTCTAGGAAGTCATTGGTCCTCCTGTGAAACCACAACCAATTGTTTTTGAAATGTCTAATGAGATAGGAGGAGTCATGTCATCCATCTTTATATACAGTCTGTGGGTGAGCCAAGCTAGTTATTCACACCTCCTCCCAGGTTATAGGTTAAGCTAAGCTAAACCTCTCCTATAGCTGTAGCTTCATATTTAGTTCAAATATGAGTAAGGTTATGATCTTCTCATTGAGCTCTGTTTGAATCAGTCCTTGTCTCTGTCATCATAAATATGTCCTCCTCCTTTAAATATGTAAAGCGTCCTTAGGTCCCTTGAAAGGCGCTATTGTTATTATTATTACCATTTCTATGTATTAAGTCTGTTTGGTGAAATATACCTGTTCCACTCTCTGGTCAGTGGTTGTGTAGAATGTGGTGTATCAGATGCTTAGCCTACTACTTGTGCTTTGGTATTAAAATTCACTCTGTGTCTTTATTGCCTAGTAATCGGACTTTTTTGTTGTTGTTTCGCCCAGACAACACTGAGCTAGAATTTACACACCGCGGCGGCACACAGACACAGTCAGTGAGGCGAGAGAGCCAGACGGAGAGTGAAAAAATGCCCCCCCGAGGGGCGAAAGCAGAACTCTTGCTTTCTGTTGTCAGGAGCGTATTTTTCCGAAACACTACACTCTCTCCCCCTGACACACACACACACACACACACTCTCAGCTTTCCCCTCTGTTCCAAGTTGTTAATGCTTTTATACTCTTAACAGTAGTCAGCAATCAGCATGTGTGTGACTGTGTGTGTCTTTGATCAGCTCAGGTGGCGGAGACCCAGTAGACTTTGCTCAGACATGTCCATCCACCACTTCTCCTCCTCTCTCTCTCTCTCTCATGGAGTCATAAGATGTCAGAAGTCCTAACAGCTTTGATCATTTTACAGGAATTCTGGCTCCACATCAGTAATCTCAGGCTCAGCTGCACGTCTGATGACTTGTTGCTGCCCTTTTCTTATGATTTAAAGTTTTTTTTAAATCTTGTGGGGCAAGTCCAAATCCAGTCAGACGTGTTCAGAGGCATACCACAGGGCTCCTAATACAGTCAACACTAGTCAGAAGCATTTCCAAGATTAGTAACACTGGCAATAAATGTTGGCTGTCACAGGTCATCGTATTTATCATATTTATGACACAATTGTGGACTTCCAGGATTAAGGATAACCTCAAACTGATGGATATGGATGTTCAGGAATAATATGATGATAAATCTCACAAAATAAACAGGTTTCTGTTAATCCTCTGTGGTCACAATGTGCCAAATCCAAAGAAGAGAAACAATGACTGTGTCTCAAGATTATGAATTTAACCTTTGAGAGGACATCAAGGTGACAGTGACCATTCAATGTTTTCCTGGTTTTCAGGATAAATGCAAATAGGTCATTGGACTAAGATTATCAATTTGGTTCATGTTTTTTAAAACAATACTCTGAACATTAAAGTAACTGTTGAATATTTACCTGGTTGTCATTGTTTGCTCATTTGTATATTTTTTTATTCCTGCAAAGGATGTCATGTTTTTGTCTGCATTTCTTTGTTTGCTACTTTGCAGGATTATTAAAACGATTGGATGGATTATCATGAAACTCAGTGGAAGGATGTGGTATGGGTCAAAAGTTAAATTTAGGTACAGATGTGGATCAGGGGGGCGATACAGGGTTTTGTTTTTCAACATTTTTGTTGATTTCTCAGGGGAAAGTTGATCTTCATGAAAAAATTCAGGCATGTTTATGGGACTGATATTTATGAGTGTGTGTAATTTGGTGCAGATGCAAATAAAGGTTTGTTGGACCTTGGAGGAGGCATGCTCTCATTCTAGTTTTTCATTTTACATAGAATTATTATATTGTATTTGTTTTCATTTGGGCAGCAACAGGGGCCACTTCACGCTGTCACCTTATTTTTGTTCATGTATTTAAATGCATAACTGTGTCTATATACAGGTGATCCTTGAGCTGAGGGAATAGACAAAAGTGCGATTAGAAGTTGTTCAAATTAAGGTTTAATCTCTCACATATCTTGGAAAGACTATGAAAGACCTGGTGCTGTCTTCCCACCAAAACTAAATCACACAGTGCTTAACATAGAACAATAAAAGTAATGAAATTATAAGACTGATATTATACAAAGGATATATGAAAAATGAAAAAAAGCCTAGGGACTGAAGCACAATGGAACCAAAATAACTCTGCTTTAGCACTGTTAACGCAAGAGGTCACAGATTTTTTTCGCTTTCTTTTGTTTAAATCTCCCCTCTGAGCTCAGTGGTTTCCTCCCCCCCCCCCAGTCCTCTGTCTGTCCACCCATCTCTCCATCTCGCCTTCTAAACAGAGCGTGTTTGTGTTACGGCTCTAAAAAGGTTTCCCTCTCTCTTACAGGAAAGCCTCCACACACTCAACACTCACATATCCCCTGCTGTAAAAGGTGGACGTTGTGTGTTTGTGTTGGGAGGTTGCTATTTGTCTTGACTCACTGCTGGTATTTGTGTGTGTGTGTCTCTCAGGACAAAGATATAGAAGGAGAGGAAGAAGAGGAGGAAGCTGTCATTGGTCTACCCAAGGTAAAAAGCACAACTTCACAGCTATTTGGACTTAACACGGACACAAACACACTATCTGCATCCAAACCTATTGTGAGTTTACACACTGTTTTACCTCTGACAGTGACTCCCTGAAGATACGGAGCCAAACACAATCTTATCTTCTCACACATTGACTGAACACTGTCTGCACACACTCATAATCTCTCATATGGCGTCACGCTCCTTATTTGTCAAACCCTAAAGGTTTCAGTGTTATGTCACGAAAAACATCCATATCCTAAAACCAACCTCAGTGACACACACACAAACACACACACACACACACACACACACACACATGACCAGTGGTTCAGAGTGTAGCTGAGGTAGAGGAGTGTCAGAGGACAGCTCCGGCTGCACTGTTTATCTGTAAACACGCCAGCCTTCAGCTTTCATCGCTACTTTATCCTGAAGCTTATCACAGAAAAAACACTTTATCCTTAGCTCCAGGTTAAGAGTGAAGATATTTTCTTTAGGCCTTCTCTGCACTTTTGAAACGTTAGAATCATGATGACCTCAGTTTAACGTCAAGATCTAAAGAATAATTCTGGCGAATTTCCACTTGTGGCTTATGTAATCGTCAGAAGACACACATGCTCTTGACGATCCAAATGAGAAGAAGGGTTTAAACAAACGGTTTCTGAGGGGCGATTCTAAAGACTTAGGAACTCACAGAAACCTGTTTGATCAAACTTGACTTCGGAGTAATAAACATCAACACACAGGCGAACTGCTGGTTGTGATTGTTTGTGTAATAATTTGCACTGAAAAACATAAAATTCTAAATAAACTTATGAGCCCTCATAGTGTTGCCACTTGGCACGGGAGGCACACTTCTTGTTAACAGTGTGGACAGCAACATCTGGTTGATGACACTTCCTGATCAGCTCACATTGTGGGTTTGGTTTCTGCTCACTTGCCCAGTCGCTGTTCCTTTCATCCCTTTTACCGTGTTCCTTTAGATCCTGTCACCTTGCTCACTTTTTGCAAACTTTTCTGGTTCCCAAGTTTTTTTGTTTGAATTTTTGGACTGTGCTACATGCTACAAGTTATACGTTCCTGCCACAATGTAGTTTGCCAGTTTGAAACCAGTAAACAGGGGAGATCCTCACTCACAAACTTGATGATGGATTTATCAATAACTGCTCCAACTTTATCCAGAATTTGTTTAACCACCACCAACTGAAAGCTGGTTTGAAACTGAAAATGTCAAAACATGATCCAAGTAGTAAGATGTAAATAAGGCTGAATGCCAAAGTGTGGAGAAAATCTCATGCTCCCTTGTTCAGTGTTGTCATCATCCCTGTAAACTTTATGTTTACATGTGGGGTTTTATCTGTACCTGCAGCTGTGCCCATTGTGTGAATAAGATTATGTGCTGTGTCTTTGTTCCTGAGATACAGTCTGTGAGATCTGATCTGAAATCTCAAAGCTGCAGTCGTGTCCGAACTCCTCTGAGCATGTAAAGCTAAAGCTCCATTGTCTCTGAACTCTTGGCTGCCTGCATGTACACTTACTGTAGGTGACTTAGTTCATGGGACATATTTCACGACCTGTCCCGCCTGTGAGGACAGTGGTGGCTGGGCCAGATGAGAGGGGAAGGAAATGCAGCATTCTTTGGAGGAGCTGGGCCTTTTGGACAGGAACAATCACTATGCAAGAAAAACAAGGCTGAAAATAGCTGCTCTGAAACTGTGGAGAGCTGCAACTCTTCCACTGTTGGTTGTTCAATGCTCATATTAGGACATACAAAGTGGAGATGGAGTGCTGCAAGTGGAGGGAGGTTACCTTTAGCTGTAGAAGGCTGATTCAATTTATAGATAAGAGGATGTTTAATCAACCAAAACATTCCTAATTTCACCCTAAAATATATAAGCAGATGCCACAGAGGGGCTCTCTGTGCTGAGCCCTAAGGCGATTCACTTCTATGCCAGTGGTCAAACTACTGTGACTGTTAAATGATGGATGTCTGGTTCTGGAAATAAACTCTATATTAAATGTTTTATAGTAACACACAGTCTCTGCTGCTAATTGAATACAATTGATTTGTCCAAAAGCAAATTTGATGACAAACAATTCTGATCAGTTCATTGTTTAAAGTAGTATCTTAGCTTTGATTAGTTTAGCTTAGATTAGTATAAAAAGTTTAAGTTAACTCACAATTTTGCAAGAACGTGAAATAATTAGATCCTACCTACAACTCATCCGTCCATCCATCCAATCCCAGCAGACATTCGGCAAAAGGCGAGGTACACCTTGAACAGGGCACCAGCGCATCAGAGGGAAGAAACAAGCATTCACACCGCTGGACAATTTTTAAGTCTCCAAGTCACCTAACGCCAATCTGCATGTCTTTGGACTGCTAGACGAAGCCAGAGTACCTGGAAAAAAAACACAAATCATAGTACATTTCCAAAATTAAATGCCTCTTTCGTCCCTCTGCTTTCACCTCGGGGCTATGGATGGAAGAATTTGGCCCAACAGGAGCTCTATTGTTCTGCCGAGCGTGGAGATGTAGGTAAAGCCCCCCCACACAGCCAGCCTCAGTGAGCTGCTTGGTTTACCTACGTCTTGGCTGGAGAGATTACTGGGCACGGAGCAGCTTTGGCTCTAGAGGCCTGCAGGTTAATGCTGGAGTGAATGGTGAATAGGCTGGCCCTCTGTATGTGCATGCATGCATGCACATACAAAACTGGAATTTCCATACATGCGCGCGCACACACACACACGCACACACACACACACACACACACACACACACACACACAGATTTCTTCCAGTTTACACTTGACAGGAAACAAGAAAAAGGGAGAGAGACAGAAAAAGAGTTTCGAAATGGCTGAGATATAATTTTGAAATGTTTTTTTTTTGATGGCAATAAACCAAAATAAACCAATTTGATGGCAGCGCTCTTGTCCACGGGCATGTTCATTATGAGAGGTGAGCAGAGGAGGATTTGTTTTTTCATTTTATCAGCTTAGTGTCTGTCTCCTGATGACATACCAACAATAGAAAAAGCAATGTGTCTACAAATCCCTTAAATGTCACACAGTTTGGATATGAGAGGAGATCCTGAGCGGGATCATGAAGTCCTTGTTATCTAGCGGTGACATTTAGAAGCTTGATCTCAGTCCTGGTGACACATCTTATTGTGCTTGTTCCTGTTTGGTTAGAATGCGATGACTTTCATGTCGAGCTGTAGTTGTTTGTTGCTCCTCCATAGGTGAAATATAGGAATGAAAGAAGCAGTTTCAAAGGGTGACCAGGGTCAGATGGATTCATTAGATAATGCTTCTAATACTGAGCATGTTTCAATATCAGCAAAGCAAAGGCAAGTGGGAGTAAATGTTATGACCTTGACTGTTGACAACTCTTCCCTGGCACAGAGAGAAATAAAGCCAAAAGTTTAATCTCAGAGGAGGGCAGCATGTGTGCTCGGTTTAAAGCTGTACAGGCAGGGAGGAATTCTGATGTGAGTCAGGAGGAGTTTCACGGGGAGTGGAGGGTCTCGCACTGGAATGTGCCAAACAGCACTGACCAATCTGTGCCACTGAACATTTCTTGTTTCTCTGTCTCTGCAGTGTTGTGCAATTTTCAGACTTCACAGGAGCTATAGCTCAATGTACACATCCGCCGATTAAAACTAGATGTCACGTTCATAGTAAGTAACATTGTACCCTGCAGGAACCGACAGTCAGCAGTTTACACAGGTTGGCATAGGCTTAGTTACAATCACGAGCTAGAAGATCTTATTCTGTTGTTTTTTGGGGGTTTGGCAAACAGCTGTTTGGTGCATTACTGCTCTTCTGGTGTGCAGGCGTCTGTTTGATTTGTTTTTGACATCTACGATAAATCCTTAAAGGATAAATTTGGAATCTGGAAACAGGAGGGAAGAATCAGCCTCTTTCTATTCAACAATGGAATCTATTGTTAATTGAAGAAAGAGAGTTTAAAAAAATATATATGGATGGATGGATATATGACTTAGGTTTGAAGGAGTGCACATGGAGTGCACATTGATCAACATATCTACAGGCATCAGATCTAACAAGTCTAACACGCACCAGATGTGTTTACTCACTTCAGCTCAAATGCTCTGCTGTCTGCTGCTCTCTGTCAGGAGGACAAGGTGAAGAAGATCATGTCCAAGAAGGAGAGGAGGGAGAAGAAGATGTTCTCCTCTAAAGACGACGAGCACTTCTTGTTGACGGGAGTGAAACTGGCTGACCGCAGAGGGTGAGGTTACCCGAACTGGATAATGTGGGATTATGAGAACTGTTATGCATTTAAGAGGCAGCTTTAATATTGCATTATGATTTATTTTGCATTTACAACCAGTTGTCATTTGGACTCATTAGATTTGATCTCATATGAGTCGAGAAAAAAAAATCAAATAGACTGAAAGAGCACTAGTTGGTGGAGGCATTCAACCACAGCACGATAATTCTTGTATTTTGAATAAATGTTTTGTTTGTAATGTGTTAATCTCCAGTTTTCTTTCCAATGGACAGGTTGTGCATTTAATGTGTCTGTATTTTAATATCAAACTAGTTCTTTCAACAGTTCTGATGAAATGTAACTTGTCCTACAAGCATATAAAATATATGTCAGAACTTGTGTTAGTGGAGACAAACTGAGGTCAAATGAGTGTAAACGGACTATATTTGTTTATATGTAAGAGAGAGCTGCATGTGCCAGCAGTCAGTAACTCTCAGAGCCCTCAGTGGTGTGGAGCACGTATGGAGGAAAACCTAAATGAATCACGTAGCTGTGACAATCAACCGGGAATTCCTATATAATGGCTCGTTGTATGGGGAAAGTTCCCCTGGTGTTATGTCTGTTCCCCACCCAGTCAGTGTTATTTTTAGCTGAGATGTTCAAGGTGAACTTTTGTGCAACAGCAGCTTCACTGTTTATTTTTCTCTGAAGGTCTCACAAGAAAATCAAAGACGACGAAAAGGATAAAGAAAAGAAGGACAAGCCGGAGAAGGGCCACTGTTTCTGGGAGAGTGTTACCATGACGATGAGGCAGATCTCGCCCACCAAGAAGCTGGAGAAGATGGAGGGCTGGGAGCCGCCTCAGCTGGAGGACTTAAACGAGACTGAGACAGATGATGCCCTGGAGGACAAGACCTTGGAAGGGTACTCACCGTCCCCTCTACCCGAGTCTCCAGGCCTTCCGTTGGACTTGGCCTCCTGGGGGGGGCAGGGCCTGGAAGAGGACTCTTCCCGCTACGCTAACCTGTCGGACTCCAAGGATTCAACAGCGGCTGTCACGTGGACGGCCCGCGCCAAAGTCAAGCTGGCCGGCATCAGCAGGATGAGCAGAGGGATTGTGTCGGACATTGCGTGGGAGGGGTTTAAATAGTGGCCATTTAAAGTTGTGATACTCCCTCTGTCCTTCACCTGTGTCGTGAGGATGAAGACCTGAACCAAATATCTGCTTGTCTTCGTAGTCTTTAAACTTAACAGGTGCTAACCGGTGTTGAGCTGCTGTACTGTAGTAAAGACCTGCGCATGAAACATGAAGTTTGTTTTTGGTATTTTAGCTTTAAAGTCAATGAAGACAACATGTTAGTTTTATCAATGGGCTTTTTTATTTGTGAAAGTTTTAAATCACTGGTATAAATTGTATAGTAAAACAAATGAAAGCCTTAAAATGCCTGACCTGTAGATATGTGATTTAAAAGTGATTTTTCATGTCATTTTTGTGGCTGTTATTATTTTAGTATTAGAGAATTGATGAATATGCAAACCTACTCCAGATTTTATAAAGTTAGACTGGTTCTCAGCTCTTCTACGTCTATGCCGTTACAGAATGTGAGGTTGAAGCCTTAACTTATGCATCAATACTGAGCTGTGCAATCTGGCACACCGGTGTGTGTAACTGTTGCTGTGTGTGTGAGAGGTGAAAGATGATAAAGAAATATACAGACAGAAGCTCCATAAAATGTCCGGAAAATTGGTTCTGGACATTTTCTGGAGTTTGCCTTTTACATATATAGAACACAGCTGGAGATTGTCCGACTCGTTCACAACAGGAAAATGCTGCAGAAATCGTGTTTTTGTTTCCAGCGCATCGCCACTGGTGTCGACTCTCGGATGTCGTTGTGTTTCCGAGTTGAAATCTTTGTCTGCATCTTTGTATTAGATTTGTTTTTTTCTTCAGTTTTGTGTCAGACACATTTTCCAGACATTTTACCAGGGGGCAGACATGTCGAGCTCTCTCACTCTGGTAAGATTTCAGGAAAATGTTTCAGTGCTTGTCTGAAAACAGCTAGAGACTTTGTCACAGTTATGACTCACAGGGGACATTGCTGAACATATCTGCTGTTGTTGAAACGCTGCTTTCATATAATAT